GCATACTTTACACTTAGCCTTAACAATAATGCTTTGATCTAGATAGACTTTAGTCTCAACATATAAATGACGAATTTGAGCAAAAAGAGCTCAAGCATCTGGCAGAAGTGGTAGGCCTCTTTACAAGACTTTAAACTCCTAAAGCTGTGGACTTGAACCAGCACGATCTCATTATTCCATCTATTAACTCCTTCCCATCAACCCACATGTGGCCATAAACTCTGGATATAGGTGAATATATATAATGGCTTATTGATGTTATAAGACATTTAATGGCTTATGTGATATATTCAAATTCTTATCCCTGATTGGCAATGTGTGGTTCAATGTGCTTTGCAAAATTGCATTGAACGTGGGAAATTAACATAGTATTTTCATCAGTCTCTCCACTTGCATCTGGAATGCGTGCCCCAGAGGACATATGCCTCTGATTTTCACAAGATTAACCTGTGCCTTTAGCGTCCCTCAGAAGAAGTAGTCAATAAACTTCAGATCTGAAGAATGTACAGCCAATTCCACACGGCCATATCATCCAATTCAGCTTTAAAAATTAATCATCCACCCAGTCCCTCTTCATTCTGGCATAACAGGTAGCATGCCATCCTGTTAGACTCACTTTGGGCAACCTGCTCCCACTCCGTCAAGTGTAGCCGTTAATTGAGTATAAAGCATGGCCACAAAAGTAAAATATTTACTCCTAGTTCCCAACTTTATGGCCACCCTTTAGATTTGTAATTGGTTTGTCTTCCTTACTAGAATGTACACTCCAGGAGGAAATAGAATTGTCTTGTCCATTTATGGATGTACCCTCAGCAGCTAGGAGCATATATTTCCTATAAAATACGTGCCCTCAATTTTTAAACGCACATTTAAAATCTGGGGAAGTGAGGAAGGAAGGGGATGAAGAAGAAATAATCCTGAATGTAACTGTTATCAGAAAAGGGGCTGAGCAAACATTCACTGAATTAGATGAAATTGTCCTGAGAGTGATCAAATGGTATGCTATCACACTAAGTACAATGCGAGCTCAGTATCAGGAATTTATAGGAAATAAATCCATATTCCTTATCTGTCTGGGGAAGTATGAACTTTTTATATACTCCAATAGAAATAATAGAAAAGGCCTTCTTCTACTGGAGGAGTTAAAGAGACATTGGAGATGAGGTTGGAAGTGAAGAGTTGAAGGTCAATTTGTGAGGAGCTGCCTGGGCTTATGATCTGCAAATCTCTGTAGAAGAAGAGAAAACACAGGGTGAAAGAAGCTCGTGAAGTATGGTAAAGATTGTAACAGTTTCCAAAGAGAAAGGGAAAAGGAACTGATCAAAGTTTGAGGTCTGGGATTCTTACCAACATCCCAGCCATAGATGAGAGGGCAGGGACTAGGGCGGAGGCAGTGGGAATAGATGATCGAGCAGATATTGTGAACTCTCATATTAGGTATAAATTTTAACAGATATAAATCTTCCAAAGTTCCCCAAACTTATAAGCAGTAAAGAGCACTAATTGTGAGCTTTATGTTTTGACATTTGGCTGTATCACTTCAGCATATAAATGAAAATATACTCATTTAATAATCAAGCCCATGATTATTAGTGTCTTGTGAGTGAACCCATTTTTACTAATGCTGTCTGTTATCATTTTGAATGATTTTGTAACTGGAATGGTTATTTTAACATTCACTTGTATTAAAATTTAAAAAATTTTAATTACTACACCAGTTTCATCTAAATAGTCATTAAATGGTGGTGCTTTTAGGGGATTTAAAAAAATTCATGATGACCAATTGCTTTGAAGTGAAAATTAGATGTTATACTACAAAGACACTTAAACACTGCAATGCACTGTGCAGTTAATTTAGCAGATAACACTCAATACAACATCAGAGATAATGCTAAGAAAATTTAAATGGCAGCATTAAAGTAAATACATTGCACAATGGACATAAGTTTATGCTCCTGAGATTGAATCCTTCTTACTCAATGTCTATTCCTATGGGGATAGGAATGTGTTGAATGATGAAGGTTTCTAGGCCTTTACAAGCAAAACCCTTGCATAGACTGTTCTTTTGTTACATGTGAGAGTAAAGTGGATTTTTAATTTTGATTAATTTTGTTCCCCTATTTGGTATTTACATTTCGTTTTTAAACCTTTAGGAGATATGTATGATTTTTACAAAAAATAGATCAATTCCTTTTCTTGTGTGTAAAGCACATTTTATTTAAAAATATTGTGAACTCTACCCATATCAGTTAGTATATCCCTGCATTATAATTTTTAATGGTTACCTAACATCCCACTTTATGGATTCATAAACATATGCATTTAAACATAAAAAAGTTATTTTATCTTTTCTTTTTCCATTTGGATTTTTTACAATGTATTGCTGTTAACACTGGGAGAAACATACCTGTTCGTATGTTTGGGTAGTTATTTCCTTCAGTCACATTCCTAGAAATAGAATGGCTACATTAAAGTGCATGCTCCTTTTAAATCTTGGTATGAGGTGGTTGACAAATTGTTTTATAAATTATATTCCAAAGAGAAATTTATGAGAATGAACATCTCTCTAAACTTATGCCTACCCTGATTATCATTTTTCTTTATAATCTTTGCCAGCTGTGAAAGCCAAAAAGTGTATTTAAATGTTTGCACTTTTAATTTGTAGTTTATGGACTTTTTTTTCGTTTCACACAGTTGGTTGTCGGTGTGCATGTTTTATGGACTCTTTTCACATATTTATTCATCATTTGCATTTTCCCTTTTATTACTTGCCCTTCATATCCATAGATCATTTTTATGGTAGTGTAATCTTCTTATAAATGTGTACAAGATAATTAAATGAAGTCAATAAACCATTTCTTTCATATACTTAACAAATATATTTTCCAAGCGCGTTTTTACTTGATTTTTTTCTGAAAGTAGGGTTTTAAATTTTTTTTAGGGTAAAATTAGGCAGACATTCCTTCTGTGCTGCTGTGTTTGACAGCTTGCCATTCTTACCTACAGAATAAATGAGAAAATTATTTTCTATTTTCTCTAGGTATCTGGTGGTTTATTCTTAAAATGTTAAATCAAGAATCTATATGATATTTATGTGTTATAGCATATATATGCTAGAGATATAATCTTCTTCTCCCCCCCAACCCCCACTCCCCAGCTTCCTAAAGTGATTTTTTTTTTTGGCTATCTCATTTCTCCTCTCCCCCTACCCAGTCCCCTACCTGGAAATTTCTCCATTATCATACTCTAAATTCTTATGAACTCTTGGGTTTATACCTGTTCTTCTAAGGAAGAGTGGCAAGCTTTTGAATATTATATTAATATTATACATATTCATGTCTAATAGGAAATATTTTGATTTTGCAGTTAAAAAAAAAGTCCTGGCTGCTATCCTAGGGTTTTTTTGTTCTTCCAGATGAAATGTACATGTGCTCTGGTAAGTAAAATAAAATAAAACAAAAATAAAGGAAAAAACCCCACATCACTCAGCTTATTGAGATTTTGGTTGGAATTTTGTTAAAGAATATTGAGTCTTACCATCTAGGAAAGCAGTAGCTGTCTCTATTTACACCTTCAATGTCACACAGTAGACTGTAATCGTTTCTTTTGTGTAAGTTCTGCCCAATTCTTATTAACTTAGTCCTAGATAATGAACGCTACTGTGAATGGAACTTATTATTACTGGCAGAGGGAAACAATTGACAAAAAAGTATATTGACCTGCACATCATCAAAGTTAATATTACCCAAAATGGGATGAACTGACATGTGTGTGTGAAACTGACCTGGTGTGATTTACAGGAAGAATATAACATATCTTGTGTAGGATCCTGACCAAGAAATGTATAACCTGAATCTGATTATGAAAAAAACAAGCAAATTCAAATAAAGGAACAACTGATGTGTCCTCTTCAAAATTAACATCATAAAAGATAAAGGCTGAAGAACTAGATTAAAGGAGTCTAAATGATGACAACTGAGTGTAATAAATGATTCTAAGTTGGATCCTGGATCAGAAAAAAATGTTACAAAGGATATTATTGGGACAATGGGTGACATTTGAATATGGTCTAGACAATATTGTATCTGTTTAATTTCTTAGATTTGATAATTATGTGGTGATTATGTTTTTTAAAATGCGTTTGTTCTTAGAAGACCTATGCTAACGTTTTAAGGTTGATAGTTCATGTTTATAACTTGCTACTCTCAAATGGTGAAGAGGTACAATGTGAAAAACATTGGTGAATCTAAGTAAATGGTTTACAGGTGTTCATTCAGAATGAATCATTCCTGCAACTTTTCTGTAAATTCGAAATTTTTCAAAATAAAAAGGTGAAAAGGGTAACACGCTTAATAAGAAGACCACATTAACACATTGAGCAATAAAAATATACCTAACATTGGCTATGGTCATCCTGGGAGGGGAGACTATGAGTGCGCTCCTTAGATCAAATTATTTTTTTATTTATGTGTATTTGCCCTTTTATCTACAGTTTTAGCGCGTTGCTTTTGAAATCCAGTTTTGAGTGGGGGTGGCATTTGCATTCTGGGGAGGGAACTTGCTGGTTGTGGGTATTAATCTTTTACTACATTGCTTGACTTTGTTTTCTATAAATATTTTATTATGTTGCTTGGCTATAGTCAAATTTTTATTTGTTTTCACATGTGCAGTTGACTTACATGTTTCCTTCTCAAGGTAGCTCTGCGTGGAAAGTGACACTGGTTGCAGGTGGAGCCCAGTTCAAATCCCTTACCCGGGGTGGGGGGCTATGGGGAACTAGGGCTCCAAACAAAGTAGAGATGATTTGGGACCGCAAATCACGCAAGTCGACAAAAAAGGCAGGACTGTTCCAGACATTCCCTAAGGGAGGGGACGCGGAGACATATGGGAAACAGTCTGGACTTTGATGGATTAGCCCAGGAGCCCCGGGAACAGACCCTCGCAGCTCTTTCTGCGCATGTGCAGCTCTTCCTCATTGTTTGTCCGTCTCTTGTCTCCAGCTTGGCGCGGCAGGTAATCTTGGAGCCTCCAGGTCAACGCTCAGTGACCAGGTCCTGCACGAAGGTGAGACCCTGATTGGGGGAGAGGGTTGGGGTTGGTTTGTGTCCTCAGCTTGTGGAAGCAAAAACTTGCACGAGTCCACGCGGATCGAGACCCTACAGCACTTGTTCCCGAGTCTGCTGTGCGTTTGCCGCGCTAGAAAGAAAGCAAGTGACAGAAGAGTCACTTCTGCATCTGCAGGCTCCACAAAGAGGATAAGGGAGGGGGCACGGGTTTCCTGGTCAGAATAAAGGGCGTTGGAGAAAGGCATTCAAATGTTAAAGAGCTGTTTCCAGAAGCTCTTAGAATTTGCGCGTGTCCTGGGCAACCATTCACCAGCCAGTCAAGTCCACCGGGACACTAGAGGGGGCAAGAATGAATTGTTACAACATTTATCTTTTGCTTACAGGCTAAGTGGTGGGTGGTGGGTCTGTAGTATAGCAAGCTGATTTCAGAGCCTGAGTTTGAAAGTAACATGGGTTCAGATTCTAGCTCTGCCACGGAGTCCCCATGAGCCAAATGATTACTCTCTAAGACTCAGTTTCCTCATCTGTAAAATGAAGTTATTTCCCAAACCAGCCTCTGGGTTGTTCTGAGCACTGAATAAGAGAACACCTAGAAAGCTCTCAGCACAAGTCCTGGCACCTGGGGGGGGGGCCGCGGGGGGCACCGGAGTGTGGGAGAACTGAGTCTTTCCTTGAGGCTCTTGAAGATTTCTTGGTATCTGTTCAGAACCTTCAGGTTACCATGGAACTGAGGCCTCTAGGCTCCTAGTTCAGGGTCCATCTGTGCCCTCAGCAGTGTAGACTCCCAGGCGTGATTTTCTGGCAGTAGTTGGCAAACTAGCACGCATCAGAATCACTTGCAGGGCTTGTTAAACCCAACAGGTGGCTGGGCCTCACCCTCAGAGTTTCTGATTCAGCAGGTCTGGGGAAGGGCCCAAGAACTGGCCTTTGTACCTAGTTCGCAGGGGATGCTGATGATTTTGATCTGCGGACCACACTGAGAACCACCGTTGTAGAAGATGATGAATTCCACAAGAGAGCTGGGACCCAGCTGTAGGTTCCAGTCATTTGAATTTATCCCCTCCAGCCAGGTCCAGATTTCCCTGGGTCACACTTCTCTTGTGAGGAAAGAAGGAGGGGAAAGAAGCAAAATCCCACCTGGGAGACCCTCAACCTCCCAGATTCAGCACACCACATCTGCAGGGCGGGGGCTGGGAAGCAGGCAGGCTCTGTGCTTGCTTGCTCTGAATAATGTCACCACCCCAGTGGTTGCCAAGAAGCCTGTCAGCGAAGGTGTGGGCCAACTTTCAAAGGAGAGAGGTGACAGGCTGAGGGTGGTGGGCAGGAGGCAGGCTGTGCAGGAAAAGGAACTCCTGTGGGGCTTGGCGAGCGAGGCCGTGGTCCGGAGCAAGTCAGAGAGACAGTCCTCCTGGAGACGCCTCCCAACCTTATTTCTCCAGCCCCTCTTCTCAGACTCTGCAGAGCCTGCAAAGCACACCCTTCCCACTCCCCACTCCTGCCTCTACAGGGGTGCAGGAAGGGTTTGCAGGGGTAAGGGTTATGCAGTTCTATCTCATTTAAAAGTAAAAAATATTGTGCCTGAGAGAGTTATTAGCACAGGGCTTAAGCACGTGGTTTCCAGAGCCAGACTGCTGGGGTTCCAAGCCCAGCTCCACCACGCTGCTTTAACTTTTCCTCGAATTCTTCTTCTGTAAAATGGGAGTCATAATACTACCTACATCTTGCTTTATTTTAAGGATTAAAGGAGGAAATACACATAAAGTACTTAGATTAAGGCCTGTTAGATAGTAAGCACTATACAAGTATTGTCAGTATCTTGATATTATTATAACTAGATTATTATACTGTAGGTTTGCATTATTCATTAGTGGCAGAACCAAAAGGTACACCAAGGCCTCTTGACTCCCGGGCCATTGTCCACCGTGGCTCAGTTAAGTCAAAACAAGGTTCTTAACAAAGAGTCCTTTTGAGACACTGAAACCAAAGGAGAATAAACCTTTAAAATATATATACATACTTATATGTCCTTAAAGCACACCTCTTTCTGTTGTCAGAGGTTCCTGTTAATTCTTTAACTTCAAGGAGTTAAAGACATAAAGTATATAAGTAAACAGCAGATCTTTATGAAATTTTGGTTGCATCTTTTTTATACTTTTTATTATGGAAATACTCAAAACATACAAAAGTAAAAAAAAATGATATAGCCGGGCGCGGTGGCTCACGCCTGTAATCCTAGCTCTTGGGAGGCTGAGGCAGGCGGATTGCTCAAGGTCAGGAGTTCAAAACCAGCCTGAGCAAGAGCGAGACCCCGTCTCTACTATAAATACAAAGAAATTAATTGGCCAACTGACATATATATAAAAAATTAGCCGGGCATGGTGGCGCATGCCTGTAGTCCCAGCTACTTGGGAGGCTGAGGCAGAAGGATTGCTTGAGCCCAGGAGTTTGAGGTTGCTGTGAGCTAGGCTGACGCCACGGCACTCACTCTAGCCTGGGCAACAAAGTGAGACTCTGTCTCAAAAAAAAAAAAAAAAAAAAATGATATAATCACTCCGGGTACTTGTCACAGCTTCAGCATATGGATGAACAATTTTATTTCATCTGTATACCCCCCCAATATACACACACACATATATATATATATATATATTTCCTACCTTCCTCTATTGCATTATTTTAAAGTAAGTCCCAGACATCAAACAATTCATTATGTAACATGTTCAGTGATGGATCCATGGCACAACATCCTTGGTTGTAATGTGATTTGTTTAACCAGGTCTTTCTTAATTGTACTTTGTGTTGTTTATATTTGTCTGCTATTAAATCAAAAGAAGTTATAAATTGTAAAAAAAAAAAAAAAAACACACACACAGTAAGAAACAAATATTTACTTTCCCCAATGAAAAGCCTGCTTCTCTTAGTGCCACATGGTTATGCCAGGGTTCCAAGAGTCCCTTGGCATACTTCTCCCTGCCCCTTCTGAAGGGTCAAGAAACACTGTCCCATGGCATGTCAGCAGATGTGTGTGGGTTTCTAGGCAGGTGCTGTGAGGACCTTCAAGGTATTAGTAGACCGAATTTCTCATGATTTATTTGCTCCTTCCGTCTTCCAGCTCTGCTTTCACAGTTCTCTAAACTTTTCCAGGAGGTGAAGAAAATGAACACATCCCAGGTGAATTATTTACTTATTATTCAGTTTTTACAGTGACATTTTTAAGAGTTATAACTTTGCATTTTTAGTAACGGTGCTTTCCTGCCTATTGTTTTTCTTCATTTCTCCATTTCCTGACTTCTTTCCTGCTTTATTATTTACTTTCTTTTTTCTCTTTCAGTGGTTTTAAAGGTCTACATTTTATTTTTATTCCATTATTAACTACCATGGATGTATTGAACACATATATAACATCTTTTCTATCAAATCAGGAATGTTTTTCATATATATAATATTACCTAAACAAGATCACTCACCCCTCATCTCAGCTTTTATAGAAATAATCTAAATGCTTTTCTTCTTTCATTTTCTTTTTTCCTTTTATATGATAAATATTATTTTTGGAATCCTTTGCTAATAATTGTATCAGACCTTGTAGCCACTGGAACAATAGTAAGTTTGTATTTGAATATATACTTTCTAGTCATTTTTGTTGTCCCAAGTTTGAAGCTAGAATGACAAAAGCAATTATCAGCAATTTAGGTCTGCATATTATGTTCCAGCACTGCTAAATTCCTTAGCTAGATTAGCTCATGTAATTTTGACAACACTGTGAGGTAGGCACTTTTATTACATCCTTTTAACTGAATGCTACAAAGATTTAAGTAACTTTTCAAGGGCTTAGAGCTGAAATAGTTTGGAGGATGTATCATTAACTATTTGGCCAGATGGACACCTCACTGAGTCCAAGTCCACTGCAAGTTTTCTGCCCATTTTTGAGAGTCAGTTATCATCTTCTTGTGTTTCAACCTAAGAACTTGGAATGGGAGGTCTCTTAGGTATAGGGTTGCCAGGTAAGACGCAGGGCATACAAAGGCAGGGAGGTACTTACACTAAAACTTACTCATTGTTTATCTGAAGTTCACTATTTAAGTGGGTGCCTTGTATTTTTATTTACTAAATCTGGTAGCCGTACTTGGGCAGAAAGGGAGTTTGAGATGCCCTCTGCTGACTAGTGGGGCCGTCCATCCCCACTCATCCAGATGACCAGGAGTTCTTCGTAGTCAGTGGCTGGTTTTATTACCTCATTCCACGTGGCTTACAGGTGAGCAGGCGTGGGCTGCTCCGGAGTCACCATCAGTCACTGGCAGGTCCCTTCCCAAGTTTCAGGAATTCTCAGACTTGGTACCCACAATACGTAGCTTTGTTTAAAAAAATGTCAACACTTTGCCCACATACCCTTATAAGTCACAGTGCTTGTTGGTCTCATCTGTCTGTTCCCCGTGATTTCTGCAGACCACGTTTCCTTCTTTCACTGATTATGCTGAGTTTTGTGAGAGGCCCTGGGGCATTTCACAGAATGGCTGTGGTTAGCTTGCCTCCTGCCTCTGGCTGTCTGAAAACGCCTTTTTTCTGCTCTGTTCTGTGAATGATTCACTGGTTAAAGGACTCTGGTTCAAAATGCTTTTCCTTCAAAATACTATGAGAAAAGACAATCTCCGTGATCCCCTAGCATTTGGAGAGATTGAGGAGAAGCCACGTGGCAGTTTGATCCCAATTCCTTTGACCGTAGCCTGCTTCCCTCCCCCGCTCCTTCTTCTTTCCTTGGATTTCTGATATTTCACCAGGCAGTGTCTGGCTATTTATTCGTTTTTTCCTATGCTTGCTTGGAAACTGGATGTACCATGTCAACATGAAGCCTTGCGTGCTCAGAGACATCTTCAGGTGTTTCTGTGATTTCTTTCCTTCCATCCTCTTTGTTCTCGACACCCAGAAATGGCATAGACTGTCAGTGCCTCTCATTGGTCCCCTGTGTTTCTCAACTTTGATTTCAGTATTTCCTCTTTTCTGTGTGCATGTTCTATGCGTTGAGCAATTTGTTCATTGTCCCGTTGTGTTTATTTCAAGCCTTGAGGGTTTTGGCTTTTGTTTTCACAAATCAGTTACAAAGAATTTCATATCTATGTGCTTTTCTTTTTTTCATAGCATGCTTTTCTCATTTTATGAAAGTCAAACTCCTACTTGAATTTTTAAAAATTATTCTCTGCAATATCTTAATTAAATTTGTTTTCATAGTTTCTATCTATTCATCTTGGTGCTTATCTTTTAGGCTATTTTTTTTAAATTTATATTTGTTTATCAATCTTTGAGTCTGTTCTTCTTGATGCTTAGTTTTGAGGCTGTTTTTCTGAGGTCTTTCTTTTTTTTTATTTTCTAGGTAAAAAACCTCATTAGATCACTTGAGGTGGCTGATGTGTGTTGACGCATTAGCACGAAGGTCTGTCTCCTTGGCAAGCTTTGCCCAGGAGTGCAAGGGCTGACTTGGGACCTTTTATGTGAATTGTTGGGGGAGTTACACAAGCACTGTCCTTGGGCTGCACACAGAGGGCGAAGGAGGGCAAGATCCAGGTGCCCCCTGCCCTGGCCAAAGAGAGAAGTACTTTACCTAGTGGCAGAGCACACTGGTCTTTCCCCCCAGAGTTGCCCTAACAGGAAAGCTGTGCCCATATGCACAGTTCTCTGCGTCTCTCTGTGGTTGCAAAGTTCTCACAAACTCCTCGGCCAGTGCCCTGCTTTTTATAGGGAACATTCTCCTGAACATTAACCTTCAGCCCACCCTCCCAGGGGTAAGGAACCACCAAGGAGTGTGGTAGTCCCTCTGTTAAGCATGATCCCTGTTCAACTCCCAGCTGCTTCTGAGCTGGGAGGTCTTGCTGTGCTCTTCCGCTGTGATAAATGGAGGGTTGTGTTCATGTTTCTCCCTCCTGTTGTTTTGGAGGACCATCACAGGCATCCGTGTTGTTCGAGGATGTGTCTGTGGACTTCACCCAGAAGGAGTGGCAGCTGCTGGAGCCTGCCCAGAGGCTCCTGTACAGGGACGTGATGCTGGAGAACTACGGGCACCTGGTGTCACTGGGTAAGCCAGCAGCGTGCATTTCCCATCCCAGGAAGCAAATCACTGTAGAGAGTAGTGAGTTTTATGCTTGAGATTTTCTATTCTAGGACCCTTTTCTTTTTTAGAGACAGGGGCTCACTGTGTCACTCAGGCTGCAGTGCAATGGCCCAATCATAGCTCAGCCACGAACTCCAGGGCTCAAGTGATCCTCCTTCCTCAGCTTCCTGAGTAGCTGGGACTACAGGTGCATACACCATGCCCAGCTGACTTTTTTGAGGCACTTAAAAGAACACTGTCTTCTTATTTCCCTGGTGAAAGGGCCTATTTGGATGAAACACACTTAGGCACCATATCATTGTGTAGCTTCTAAAGCTTCTCCCTTCTTGTGCCTCAAAGGGCCTGAACCCTAGCAACTTTGCCAAGTCTCATTGTCATTTCCCATAACAGGACACTGTGTTACCAAACCCGAGCTGATATTCAGGTTGGAGCAAGGAGAAGAACCATGGATGTTAGAGAGAGAACGTCCAAGTCAGAGACACTCAGGTGAGTTGAGGTCAGATTAGAAAGAGATGGGAGAAATTTAGATCCCAGTTGCCAGTATTTTAGAAATCTCTTTAAGGGGCTCCAGACTTTTAGAAGTGACTAAAGAGAGATGACCACCATACCTTAGAATATCAAACCTACCTACATCACATATATAAATGTTCTTTGTTTTCTATTTGACTTTTAGAGAGATTTGCTTGGTTTTTATAGAATGCTATGGCTGCCTTTTTTCATCCTAGACCATTATGTCTGTTTTTCTCTCTGTTCAATGTCAAACACTCTGTAAATATGCATTTATTCATGTATGCCTTTATTCAACAATTATTTATTAAGGACCTGCTATTCACCAGTTACATTCTAAGCACAGGGATATAGAAGCAAAATCTCTGCTCATGTCAATAGATCCAATTAGCAAATACATACATAACAGGCCAGGTAGTAGTCATTACTATGAAAAATTTAAGTCAGATAAAAGAGAGAGAGCCTGTTAGGGAGTGCAGTTTTAGGAAGGGAGGTCTAGGGGGGCCTCTTTTAGGAGGTGGACATTTGAACAGGAACAGTGGAATGGAGTTTTTATTTTTTATTTTGGCATATTATGGGGGTACAGATTTTAAGGTTTCAATAAATGCCCATTTCCCCCCTCCCCCCACAAGTCTGAGTCTCCATCATGACCATCCCCCAGATGGTGCATATCTCACTCATTATGTATGTATATACCCGCCCCCCTCCCACCTGGAATGGAGTTTTGAATGAAGGAATGGAGTGAGCCATGGATTATCTGAGAGATTTCCAGACCAAGGGAATAGCAGGTGCCTCTGAGACAAGAATGTGCTTGATGTAATCAGAGAACAGCAAGGAAGTCAGTGGGACCATAGGGGGTCGAGTGAAGAGAAAGAAGCAGGTGGTGTCAGAGAGGTCACTGGGGGAAAGGGTTTACAGGCCTGCTGAAGACTTTCAGTTTTACTGAGCGAGATTATAGGTAAGAGAATAGGTCAAGGTCTGCACCTTTAAGCATTACATTTGGAGGTCAGGAAGACACAGGACTGTAGCAAGGCAGGTGGGAAAGGACCATCCAGCATGGTAGGGGGAGAACCAGGAGAGAATGGTATCTCCGAAGCCATGTGGACAAAGTGTTTTAAGAAGGAAGGCGAGAGTTCCAATATGCAGATGGAAGTGTAAAGTCAGCATTGCCCCTTCTTTTCCTGGAAATTTTCCAAAAGCCACAAGGAAAATTGAAAACAAAATGTTAGCTCCATTTTCCCTGGAGGTTGGAGGCAGCTATCCCAAAGCTAAAAATAACTTAAACATGGGAAAGCTGCCAAAAGCAATGAAAACCAGGCTTCCTCATGGAAGAAGAAGTAGAGAAAAAGCATCATACAAATCAGTGCTATGGAAAATAGTGTTAGAATGTATTGCACACACAGTATTTACCTGTACTTTTTTTCTACAAATGAACTTAAAGTGGCAAAGAGGTCATTTTTTAAACAATGGAAGAGTAGCATTGTCCTGAAGGACATCTAGTTTCCAAGTAGAGCTAAAGATGGAATATGTATTAAGTGAAAAACATGAGGGGGGTTTGTGATTAGAAGTGAACAATTTATGGAACTAGGTAGCCCAATCTCATAGGGGCTGACAATATTGTAGACTTGTGGAATGGTCACTTGATCATGTATTGTGAATTTAGGTATCTACTAAAGAAAAGTCAAATGTTTTTAAGCACACGTTTGATGTTATTGCATAAAATGTGAGTGAAAGAGGATAATCAACAATCACCCATAGTCAAAATTGTCTAGGACAAACACAAAGGTCCTTGCAGCATGTTGAGAAGCCAGGCACTTGAGTTCTCACAGAAAAGAGAAACAAGAGAGGAAGAACATGATTTTTACAAAAAAGAATTAAAAATTAAGGGTTGAAAACGTATTATATGTCCATACAAAAACCTGAGCATGGCCATAAATAACAGCTTTATTCATAATTGCCAAAACTTAGAAGCAACCGAAATGTCCTTCAGTAGGTGACTGGATAAACTGTGTGGTGCGCTTTTGAAATATTATTCAGCACTAAAAAGAAATGAGCTATCAAGGCATGAAAAGACATGGAAACTTAAAAGTATATTACTAAGTAAAAGAAGCTAATTTGAAAAGGCCACATGCTCTATGAGTCCAAGTATGCGACATTCTGGAAAAGGGAAAAACAATGGAGACAGTAAAAAGATCAGTGGTTCCCAGGGGTTAGTAGGGAAGGAAGGAAAAATAGGCAGAGCACAGAGGATTGTTAGGGCAGCGAAACTACTCTGAATCGTGCTATAATGATGAGTATGTGTCATTATACATCTATCCAAACCCATGGAACGCACAACACCAAGAGCGAACCCTAGTATAAACTGTGGACTTTGAGTGATGATGACGTGTTGTTGTAGGTTCATCAATTGTAACAAATGTACCACTCTTGTGGGGGATGTTGGCTGTTGGGGAGGTTGTGCATATGTGGGGGCATGGGACATATGGGAAATCTAGACTTTCCACTCAATTTTCCATGAACCTAAAACTTCTCTAAAAATAGAATCTATTGAACATCAGCATTGTGAGAGGGCACAACCACTTGGTAAAGTAAATCAGCAGATCAAAAGAGGGAAAATAGGATTGTCAATCAGGACAGATTACTCTTGATTAACTCTTATGGAATCAGACGCTAGCACCAACAATCAGTGCAGGGAGGGGAATGGGATCCTGTTGTAAGCATGGCTTGTCCTCTTGTACTTCTTTAATATTCTCTCTTCACATTGTTTTTCCATAGCAAAGCTATGTTTAGAGATAGGGCCTGAACTATAGGACTGACCTTTGGACCTGAGGAAATGAATGATTTCATAACTGTAATTGGGAGTCGGTGTGAAGAATGTAAAAGAGGAGAAAGATTGGAAGCATATAGAGTAAGGAGGCTACTGCAGCAATTAAGGTATTGGGGGGAGAGAGTGATAAGAACCTAGTCTCTGATCTGCCTCCAAACCTAATCCTTGCTCTGACATTTCCCTTGATCACCCTTTGGTCTTCCGTGTGTCCCTACTCAATGCCCTGTATCTTTACTGCATTTTTATCTTAAATACATCCTGTATTAATCATTTTCCTGACATCTTTTTTTCTCATTTCACCATTCCTTGTGTTTTATTCCAAGCTCTCTACCATTGGGAGGTCCCATTTGTAATAAAACAAAGCTACTTGTATTTTCAGCTTTCTCTCCCTTTTTTTTTACTACCATGTGTGTTTTTGTATTTGTTTTCACATTATCCAACCAAAAGACTAGACTAAATATTTGTTTAGTATTTCTATTATCCCAAGAGATTGTGCCTAAAACCCAAGGATCAACTCATCATAGAGCACTGTGTACAACCCCTTCCTTAAGAAATATGTTAAGACTTATAATGTATGGTTAATTTTTCATATTTCTAGAAGTCCAGAAAGCCAATAACATGAAAGAGAGAAGCCAAGAAAATAAAGACAGATATTTGAGACAAGCTCTGTTCCTAAACAACAAAACACTGATTAATGAGAAAAGCAAGACCTTAAGGAAAGTATTTAATAAGGCCAAAAACCCAGTGCACTCAAGAAAAGTATCCCATAAATTTGACTCATTTGGAACAAGCTTGGAAAATGTTTCAGAATTAATTGTTAGTAGTGGAAACCATGTAAGAAAAAAGTCTGATGATTTCAATGGATGTGGGTTCCTTGATATAAAGCCTAAGAAAACTCACACAGAGAACAAACCCTGTGAAAATGATCAAAAGAAGAAATCCCACAGTTGTAATGAGGACTTCATTCAACATCAGAAGAATTCATCTTTGGAGCAACTTCTTGGATATAATAACTGTGGGAAAGGCTTTCACAGAAAAACAGCTTTTGTTACACGTAAGAGAACTCACACAGTAGAGAAGCCCTCTGCAGGTAACAAATACAGACAAGCTTTTATCCAAAAGTTAAGGCTCAATTCTTGTCCAAGAAGCCTTAGGGAGAGAAAACCAGGTGAGTCCAGTAAAAATGGGAAATCCTCATGCATGAAGGCAAAACATGAAGGAACTCACATAGGGGAGAAACACTATAAATGTAATAAATTTAGGAAATCCTTTAGCAAGAAGTCAAACCTCACCCAAAATCAGAGACTTCATACAGGAGAAAAACCTAAAGAGTATAATGAAAATGTGAAAGCCTTGGGGAAGTCATACCACACTCAAGATGAATGGACTCGTGTGGGAGGGAAAATCTACGACTGTAAAAGGTGTGGAAAATCCTTTCATGAAAAATCATGCCTTGCTCAACATCAGAGAACTCACACAACAGGAAAACCCAGCAAGTGTAATGACAGTGAAAGAGCCTTAAAGAAGGAATCACACCTCACTCTTGGTCAGAGAATTAACACAAAAGAGAAAAACTGTAAAGGTAGTAAATGTGAGAAATCTTTCTTTGAGAAGTCAAAATGTGCTCAACATCAGAGAACACACTTGGAGAACAAACCTGGTGAGTGTAATGAAAGTGGGAGTGCCTTAAGTAGGAAGTCACACCTCACTCCAAATCAGAGAGCTCACAAAAGAGAGAAAACCTATGACTGTAATAAATGCGAGGAAAGTTTCCATAAAAAAACAGATCTTATGCAGCATCAGAGCACACATACAGGGAAAAAACGCTATGAGTGTAATGAATGTGAAAAATCCTTCTTTGTGAAGTCCAACCTCACTGAACATCAGAGAACCCACACAGGAGAAAAACCATATGAATGCAAGGAATGCGGAAAGTCCTTCTGCCAGAAATCAGCACTCACAGTACATCAGAGAACTCACACAGGAGAGAAGCCATATGAATGTAGTGAATGTGGGAAAACGTTCTGTGTGAAGTCAAACCTTACTCAGCATCAAAGGACCCACACGGGAGAGAAACCCTATAAATGCACTGAGTGCTCGAGATCTTTCTGTGTGAAATCCAATCTCGTCGTGCATCAGAGAACTCACACAGGAGAAAAACCCTACAAATGTCCCGAGTGTGAGAAAACCTTCTATGAAAAGTCAGCCCTCACAAAACATGAGCGAATTCACACAGGGGAAAAGCCCTATGAATGTAACGAATGTAGAAAATCCTTCAGCCAGAGGTCAGCCCTCACCAAACATCAAAGGAAAACACACAAGAAGAAAACTCCTGTCAGTACCCTCCATGTGCAGAAACCTGTGTCTTCGAGCTAAACTCATTGAACATCAGCAAAATCCGGGGGTAGAAAGCCTAAGGTATTTCACATGTAGAAAGTCTTTGTCAATAGGTTATAACTAATAGGAGCTAGAGAATTAATGTAGGAGTGAAACCAGATGAATGCTTTGACTATGTGAAAGCTTTCAGCAAGTATTCAGAGTTGTTGAGGGGAATACATAATATTAAGAAATATGGATAAAAATGGAATATTACTTAACTGGGAGTCACATTTCAGATGTGATATTAAACGTATTATAGAAAAGATAACAGAAAATCTGTTTTAATAGAATGTGAAACACAGACCTTTTATAAAAGTATGGATTATTGAAGTCATAGATACAACAGCATTAAATACATGTGTGAAGACTTTCTGAGCCCTAGTGGGCTGTATATATAGGATATGAGTGTGCTGTATAACAAATTCTGTGTATGTTGGGTTTGCATATGGGAACTCACCATTGTCTCTGAATCACAAGAATACAATATATATTATAAGTGAACATTGAACAGTCACGTAATCTGTGGCCCCAAAATTCCACCTATAGGTACATACCATAAAACAGTAGTGCTCAGCTGGGTTTCCTAAAAGGTGTTTGGAAACATTGCTTTGATTGTCAGTATGACTGAAAATGCTACAGGCATTTAATAGGTAGGAGGCCAAGGATGCTAAATGCCCTGAAATGTGTCGGTAAAGGGACAGGAAGTAGTCTCATCCAGAATGCCAGTAGCTCCACCACGGAGCTAGGACAACACTGCCCTAGAGAAACTTGCATGTCTGCATCCACAAACATGTACAAGAATGTTTATTGCAACATTGAAATAATTTTTGTAATTAAAAAATCAAAATACTCAAATGTCAGTTAACAATAAACTAGATAAATGTTGGTGTGGTCATAAGTAGAAATACAACAGTGAAAATAATCTTTATTAAACACATCAACATGATTATATCTTAATAATGTTGAATGAAAAGGAAAACAATGAATACTATGTTATTTCATTTATATAAAGTTCAAAAACAAATCAAGAGTACATCATTTAGGGATACATATATAAACAGTAAAACTAGAAAGGAAAGCAAGTGTATGATTAACACAAACTCTAGGAGGGCAGTTACATTTGTAGAGAAAGAAGGGTTTGCCTGCAGGAAGAGACAGAGAAAAAGCTTCATGTTTCTTAAATGGGTCATGGGCACAGAAGTATTTCTTTTATTGTTTTTCTTTATATCATGTATATGCACATTGATATACATATTTATGTTAATAGAGTATTTTCAAGAAAAAGGTTTGAAATATTTGCATTAGAACATTAATGAAGAATCATAGTTAAGATTTTTTTTTTTACTTTCATCTATTTTTCTGTAATTAAGATCTTCTTAATGACTTTTTCAGATATCTATACCACTAGTCATTTGGGCATAGCCTTGATTTTGTTGATTGTATTTTTCCATTTGTTTCCTAGTAAAATTTCTCCTAAATTATTATAAATAATAAAGTAAACATTGATCAAGATAGAAAGAGTAAAAAAAAGTAGAAAAGAACATAAAGTATAGTAAACTGTAAACAAGTAAAAATGAAAAATAATCGTAAAAGTTATCACAATATGAACAAGTTGAATTCTTACAGAAATAGCTTAATGGTAAGCTAAAAAAACTAAATCCAACTATATGTGGTTTGCAAAAAATGTATCTAAAACCAGATGACAAAGGGAGTTTGAAATTTGAGGGATGGCAAAAATATATCTGAGGTTTTTAAACATTCATCCACTAAGGTGTGACTACATAAGGGTAAGTCTTGGGACTGTGTTATTTAACTCAACTTCCATGGAGTTGTAGTCTAGGGAGAAAGACAGATGTTAAAAGCTGTGAGCCACGGTCCCCATCTTCCTTTAACAGAACTCCTTACAGAATGTTAGCAGGGAATGTGGCCATCCAGCTAGATTCTACATTTGCTACCAGACGTTGCTACCAGAAGTTGTTGGATTCCTATTCCTGGAATCTTCTCCCAACACAAAACAGCCATTATAGTCACATGGAGTCAGTATTTGGGCCCCAAGCACAACTTCACTTTACATGGAATGTCCCACCTGGTAATCAATATCTGTCTCTGGTGGTACCCAGTAGCCCCTGGAATCTCAAATTGGATTCTGGTAAACTCAAACCAGGGCTGCTAAGAACAAAAAAGGCTGGAGAAGCCATTAGCCATCCTGAAGCTGCAGGAATGTAGGTTGTCCCCCAAAACCAAAAGAAATACCAAGAAATCCTGGGACTAAGAGGCAGGAGTCAGTTTTCATTCAACATTTATTTGTTGGAATCACTTAAGGACATTTCATTGGGCTAAGTGCTCTGAAGAATTCAAAGATGGTTAAAGTCCAAATCTGGGCTATAGGCAATGTGGTATATTGGAGAAATTTGAAATAAAGCAATTCTGGGATTTAACCCCAGCACCTCCAGCAGCTTTGATGTTTAATGACTCTCTTCACTTCTCTGAGCATCCATTTCTTTAGTAAAATAAGGAAGGCAATACCAACCCCACAGTAGAAAAGAAGTTTCATTGGTTTGCTTAATTAACAGGACCTAGCCAAGCACCTTGTAGTAGAAGTAGTAATGGCTTTTATTAGGATCTTGTTATGCAACAAGCAAAGGTATACATATCTCATTTAAGCTTCAAAACGGGGCCAGGCACGGTGGCTCATGCCTATAATCACAGCACTTTAGGAGGGTGAGGCAGGAGGATTGCTTAAGGCCAGGAGTCTGAGACCAGCCTGGGCAACATGGCGAGACCATGTCTCTCTACAAAATAAATCAGCCAGGCATGGTGGCATGCACCTATAGTAGTCCCAGATACTCAGGAGGCTGAAACTGGAGGATTGCTTCCTTCAGCCCTGGGAGTTCAAGGCTGCAGTGAGCTATGATGAGGCCACTGTTCTCCAGCCTGGGCAACAGAGTGAGACCCTATCTCAAAAAAATTAAAAAGGCCTTTGAGGTAAGTTCTCTTTCCATGTTCATCTTAAAGATGAGAAAAACAAGGCTTATAGATGTTCCTTAAAATTACTGAAGTAATAAGTGAGCCGAGACTCCATAGGCCCCTGAGTTGCACCCAGGTCTCTCTGGCTCCAATGTTTTTGCCCTTTCTTACATGAGTTTGCACTCTCCTTGCCTCTTATAGTACCAGGCTGCATACTGGCCAGGCCACACTTGGCAGAAGTAGTTTCTAGAACCATCTCTTGTTCCCTTTGATGCACATTCCTGGGTCTCCCATCCAGTACCCTGCTCCAGAAAAGGGAGCAACTGCAAAGCTAGCCCATTTTATCCTTGCCCACTCTCCAGCCCTGGTTATCGGAAGATTGCAGCTGAGGTTATCTCTTGCCTGCCTTTCTCTGAGACCAAGTCCAGGACAGCCTGGGAAACACTAAGATTCTTCAATGTTTTATTTCTACCTCCCAGGAGCACAAGTCAGTTGCACCTAACACCTAACACCCCTTTCACCCCCAAGCTCTGCAGAGATCCATTCCAAGCCACTTCCCTTTCAGTTTGGTTTCCAGGACTAGTATTTGGACCACAAAGACAGGGAGTTTCCCCCATAAGGCTGTAGACAGAGCAAGAGCAACCTGTTACACCAAAATGGAACTGCGCATGTGCAAAAGGAGCTGCTGAGCATCTGTCCCTGGGGACATCCTCTAGGTAATGCAAGACTCCATTTCCTGTAAGCTTCTCTGGCCCCTTTATTAGTGATTATGCAAGATTTTCTGCTTTATTGAGTACGTGGAATGCTTGCTTGCAAAGGTAATTTTTCCTATCCCATAAATGCGTGATTCTTTTAGTTCCCACAGAGATTATGATTAGAAATGATTTAAACACAGCCTGTGTGTGCACACGTGTGTGTGTGTAAAATCAAGGAGTCACCACAAGATATAAATCAATTTCATCTATTAATATAGATGAGACACTTAAATAAAACTCTAGGAAGTAGCATCCAATAAGACATCGAAAGAATAATAACCATACTCAGTAGCATTTCTTTGGGGAATGCAAAAAACTACAAAAACAATCATTCAAAAGAAAAGCACTGGTCACCTTTGGAGGGTGCTTTGAAAACTGGAAAATAAAGGGGAAATCAATCCTTGATTCTGCCTTTCCTATATGAACTGTTCCTCGGGGTCACCAAATAATTGTGAAGGGAATATTTTTCTTTCTAGAAGTATTACAACTAACAAATGAAGAAATCATGTTAAAATAAGCATATTACCATTTTGTAACCCCGAATGCCCTAGTGGAGCTGGGCAATGATCATTAACAGCTGCTAACATTTTTTTAAAAAGAGGAAGCAACAATATTACATGCTTTCTAATGAAAGAACACAACACCATATAATCATGTTCAAAACTGGAATCTAAATCTGATTAAGCCTCTACCTACCAATTTACATGAGAGGGTAGGGACAGAGGCACATGCCCGATGACATCACAGGGGTGTGGTCAGCAAGCCTAGATGGTGGGAAAGTTGGACAAAGGACCTGGTTTCTTCAACAAATAAATGTGGGCAAGGGAGAAGCAATTGAAGAATTTTTTTTTTTTTTTTTTGAGACAGAGTTTTACTCTGTTGCTCAGGCTAGAGTGCCGTGGCATCACCCTACCTCACAGCAACCTCAAACTCCTGGCCTCAAGCAATCCTACTGCCTCAGCCTCCCAAGTAGCTGGGACTACAGGCATGTGCCCCCATGCCCGGCTAATTTTTTCTATATATTTTTAGTTGGCCAATTAATTTTTTTCTATTTTTAGTAGAGACGGAGGTCTCCCTCTTGCTCGGGCTGGTTTTGAATTCCTGACCTTGAGCGATCCACCCGCCTCGGCCTCCCAGAATGCTAGGATTACAGGTGTGAGCCACCGCTCCTGGACTTGAAGATTTTTTTAAAACCTAAGAAATCTTGACACATCCTGATTGAAGGAGGTGGAGCTTTATTTCCTCCCCTTGAGTGTGGGCTGGACTTGGTGACTTGTTTTTGGTGAATGGAGCATGGAAAGAGGAAAATAGTACCTTTATACTAAAGAGAGACTACCTTAACCAAATGATACAGCGAACATCCCCAGTGACAAGTCATACTGATATTGTTACAGCTCAACCAGGTCATTGCCCACTGCTCAAGAGTAAGTGGGACAGCAAGGGATATGGCAGGGACAGAGTTTACCATTGCAGGTGCCATGCAGGGAGATGGGAGGAATTTCTTAAATCCGTCTCCCTAAGAATTTAGGAGAAAGGGGTTTTAAAGATAATTTGGCAGGCAATAATGCAGACCTGCCTCCCTCCCCGAATGTCAACAGAGGCTACATGGAGCACCTGGCAGTAACAAGGTGGCACCTCTCCTCTGCCAGAGAGATGTCAAAAGAAGCCACCTAAAACAGAAGATGAAATCAAAAACAGGAAAACAATAGAATTATCAATGAATCAAGGGGCTGGCTTTTTATAAAAGATCTATAAAATTGACAAACCTCTAGAAAGACTGACAAAGAAAAAGGAGAGAAGACAGATCTCCAATATCAAGAATGAAATATGAGATGTCGCTGCAGATTCTGCAGACATCGGCAGAATAATAGGGGAATACTATGAACAATTGTACACACATAAATTTGACAACTTAGATTAAATAGGCCAATTCCTCAAAAATACAAAGTACCATGACTCACCCAATATGAAATGGAATTAAGGAAATTGAGTTTGTAATTTAATGTTAAAACTAAAAAAATAAATCTCCTGAGCTAGGTGATTTCACTGGAGAATTCTACCAAAAGTTTAAAGAAGAATTGACACTAATTCTACAAAATCTCCTCCAGAAAATTGAAGAGGAGGGTAAACTTCCCAGTTTATATTATGAAGCTAGTATTTACCCTGATACCAAAACCAAAAAGATGGAACAAATATAAACAATAGCACGAATATCGATGCAAACATTTTATTAAATGTTAGCAAACAGAATTCAACAATATAAAAAAATTATGTACCATGATCAAGTGAGGCTTACTGCAGGAGTGCAAGGCTGCTTCAATATTCAAAAATCAATCAATAAAATCTGTATTAACAGGGAAAAAAAAGACAATTCACATGATCTTATAAATCAATACAGAAAAAGAATTTATCAAAATTCAGTACCCATTCATGATCCACACACGATGTGGGTTAGCAGTTCCTTCTGGAATGAGGAAAGGAAGAGAGGAAAAAAAAAGAAACTGCACCCCCTGCCCCACTGAGGCTTGCACCTTCCATTTGTAGTGACAGATTTTCAAAATCCTGTGTGCACCTGGCCCCCCAAAATATGAATTTCCATAACAACTTCATTTCTGACTCTGAGTCTGGTCCCATTCAGACAAACCAAGTCAAATTCTGAGACTTCCTAATCCTTTCTGATTGAGAACTCAGTCAAGATTTTTTTTTTTATCTTCATCTACCTCTTCATCTTTCAGATTAATGCTAAACTCGGCAGGGGGTGCAGAGCTGCTGGGGCAGTGGTGGGGCTGTAGCTTCTCCATCCGATCTTGATAAAGACTGTCTCTTCTGTATCTGGCCTCCTGCTCCTGGGGCTGCAGGTGCCCAGTGCCAGCTGGTCCCCAGCATAGGTGTTACAGGGGGGTCCCCTGGTTAGCGTCTGAATGGACTCGGGGCACTGACTCAGTGCCTTTTTGGAACCACATCACCCACTGCTTACCAGCCAGGCTGTCCCTGCCATATCCTGGCCAAACATGGTATGAAACGATACAGCAGCTTGATTTTTATTTTCCACTGTCCCTTTAAATCTATACTACAGGGCTAGTTCCTCCCCTGCCTCTGGATGAGACAGCAGGCAGTCCCCATAACTTCTCTGCTTGCTCTTAGGTAACAAGCGACTAGCAGCTAGTCATGCAGGCGGCTGTGTAGGTGAGGAGACCTCGGTGTGATCACTGTGTCGCATCTTTCTCTCTAGGGGAGGTGCTGGCTTCTTTGCTACTTGCCACAGTGTTTGCTGCCTGCTCAGCGTACACTGAGCCCTTGGCCTTGAACTCCTCAGCTTCACGGCAGCCCACGGGGTGGGTGGCATTCATCTGACCCCATGGCATTGCCCCATGTTGGGACCTTCGGGTGTGTGTGTGGGGGGACTTGCACAGCTATGCTGAGGAGCTATGCAAAGGAGGAGACTGTGGGCTTTGGGTTCAGAGAAACCTGGTTCTGAATGCCAGTTTGACCGCTCGCCACGGCGTGGTTCTCACTCGGTTATGAGACGCTGCCGAGCCTCAAACCCAAGCCTCACTGTGGGCACAAGAGCTTTGAATGGGCTGCAGGAATCCACTGGCGGCTGTTCCTGAAACGCCCAGCAGAGGGCTCTGGTCGCATAGGAAAGACCCCACCACTTCCCGGCAGAGGCTGAAAGCTTGGTCCATCCACGCCCTCCCCCCTCTGCCCACCCCCCTTCATCTCGGCCCCCCCATTTTCATTAACTCACAGCAACACATAGTGCGAGCGAAACATTTTTTGTAGTTGTGTGTTGCTGCTCTTCCATTAAAGAATCAAATCAGACAGCTTAACATTTTAGGTACGATACTACTGCCTTTTCCCTGCCTACTTTAATTTTTTTCTGATAGGAGTAAGCCATGCATTCTCGACAGGGCAATATAGCCCCCAAAGGGGTGAAAATTGGTTCTTGGCATCCCCCAAACCTTAGCTATTGCACTGGTTTGTGGCCCTCCAGAGAACCACAGTACATAAACAGATACGTGGTTTATCTATGGTATTAAATATTCATGGGAGGGACAATTAGGAAAAATGTATAAAAAGGTTCCTTGGGGGAGCTATAACTTTAAAATTAAAGATTGAGCAACACTGGAATAAGGGAAGACACCATCATTGCCCCACACTTGAAATTTAGGGATATGTAAGCCAATTCTTTCTCCTAGAATTTGGGGTGTACCATGACGCTGTCCAAACTCAACAGTACCTAACTAGAGATCTTGTCATTGTTTAGAATGGCCCCACCTGGAAAACTTAAGTTCCACTATTCTGCTTGAACCAACCCCAAAGTTTCCTCCTGTCCCTTAATACTCGTCCCTCACAAGCAACCACTGATCAGCTTTGTGTCAGGGTAGCTTAGTTACCATTTTCAAACCCTATGGGTTCTTTTCTGGATTCTTTCACTCATAATTATTTTGAGATTCATCCATGTTCTTGGATATATGAATATTTCACTCCTTTTCATTGCTGAGTACTATTCCATTATAAGGATATACCACAATTTGTTCTTTCAATTGCTTTGTAGTGGATATTTGGGTGGTGTCCAGTTTGGGGCTATTGTGTATAAAGCTGCTATGACTACTGATGAATAAGTCTTTACATGAACATATGTTTTTATTTTTCCTTAATAGATACTTAGGAGCAAAATAACTGGGTTGTACAGCAAATGTATCTTAAAGTTTTTAACAAAAGGGTTGATTCAAATCCCTTTCCCCAGGCAGTGGGGCCCTTTTCCTACTCCTCTGGGGGAAGGAGCCACCACCTTCATCCATTCAAAAGCCTCTTTCCTAGGACGACTTCTTGAGTGATGTCAAATATTCACATCCATCCTTCAGGGAGTAGGGAGCTGACAGCCACATCCAGTTGTGCCAGGATGATTTTCTGGAACCTCCCTCCAGAGGACAGAAGACACACATTACACATGTAATCTCTGGCATGACAACGCCTCTGCTATAGTACAGAAAATGTGAAAAATACATTAAAGTTTTGTACGAAAGGTAAAATTTTACCTTACCCTTTTTACAAACTGGGAAGGAGAGTTAAACTGACATAGACAGATCAACAAGAGAAGAGCATATGAATTTAGGCCCAAAGACATAGTTGGAATGAACACTTATAAAATGAATTAGACAGGGTAGTAAATTGTGAAAATGTGACAAGGCAAAGCAGCTTGGGCTAGAGTCATTGGCTGGGAGAAGTGACAAGGAAGATATGGATTAGTTTGTTTGTTTGTAAAGATTTCCCTTGGCCCCACCTTCCTGTCTTTGATGATGAGAATGTTCCTCTCTCCCTGGGATAAGAAGGGCATCTTCACATGGGAATTTCATCTCCTTTCAAAAAACAGAAGGAAGGTCAGAGAGATCTTGTACCTGCTGTTTTTCAAGTGCCTTTAACTCAGAATAGTCACTATGCCAGAGTGGCATATGTCTAACTCCTTCAGTCTAAAGAATAAAATTAAATGGCCCATAATACTGCTGCTTGAGAGGTAGGTGGCCAACAGTCCTCTGTATTCCCATCTAATCTCTTTCTTGTGCACATTATACATGGAAATGTATGGCCCTGCATCTCCTCTACACTGAGATATACAGTTTTCACAATTTAATGTCCCTGGTCAGTTGGTCAAGAGTGATCACTCCTTTAAAAAGTCAAAATCTTGCCAGGTTTGGTGGCTCATGCCTGTAATCCTAGCACTCTGGGAGGCCCAGGCAGGAGGATTGCTTGAGTTCAGGAGTTCAAGACCAGCCTGAGCAAGAGCAAGACCCTGTCTCTACTATAAATAGAAAGAAATTAGCCAAACAACTAAAAATAGAAAAAATTAGCTGGGCATAGTGGCACATGCCTGTAGTCCCAGCTACCTGGGAGCATGAGGCAGGAGGATTGCTTGAGCACAGGAGTTTGAGATTGCTATGAGCTAGGCTGATGCCACGGCACTCACTCTAGCCTGGGCAACAGAGTGAGACTCTGTCTCAAAAAAAAAAAAAAAAACAACAACAACAAAAAAAGTCAAAATCTTTCACTCAGTTTTCAAACCTGACCGAGTTTTGGGATTTAAACCCGTTTTGGATCCCCAGGAGGACCCTGCAACACCATGGCAGATGACCATATGCTGGGGACGGAGGGACACTCAAACATTTTGGGAACCATTGGCACATGGCCTTGATTGACAATGATACCCAGGGACTCAGAGCATCAGCCTGGCCTCCTCGTTAAATGGGAGCATATGAAGGGCAGGAAGTGAATGGGATCCTGGCCCAAGTCTGACTTACAGTGTGTACACTAGACCATGAGCCAGCCCCGTGGTCATTTCCCCAGTTCTCAGCCGGAACAGACATACTCGCATTCGGTACAGCTCCCACACTGATGCTGTGGCCTGTGGGCTAAGAGCTATCAGAGTGAGGAAGGCAAGGAAGCCTTGAAACAGCTCCCCCTCTGCCCAGCCGAGAGCATAAATCAAAGCAATATTATATCCATCCCAGGAGGAATGTCAGAGATCAGTGCCACCCTTAAAATCCTAGACGACACTGAGGTGGCAGTCTCTTCATATCTTGTTTAATTGGCCAGCCTGGCCTGGCCCCTGCAAAACTCAGACATATCCTGCAGGATACAATGGACTATCACAGCTGGACCAAACAGTAGTGTCAGTGTGGCCACTGTGCCAGGTGCAGTCCCTTTGCTAGAGCAGCTTAGCAAGCCTCAGGTGCTTGGTATGCAGCCTCTCATCTGCCTAATGTGCTCTTTCCCGTCCCTATCAGAAAGCAGGGACAGACACTGGCTGGACATCTGCAGACCATCATACTGGTCCTCTCTATTGATGACATGTGCTAATTGGACTGGATGATGTGGCTAGAATGCAGAGCCTTGGTAAGAAACAGACACTCCAGAGGGCATGAGATGAATACTGCAATGGTGCAGGGCCTGCCAAATAAGTAAAATTGGGGGGGGGGGTTTCCAATGTTCTGAAGCATACTGGAACATTCCCTCCAAAATAAGAGGGAAACTACTACATCTTTCATCTCCTGCCAAAGAGAAGGATGTGCCATGCCTGTAGATTTCTTTGGGTTCTAGAGGTGGCATATTCCAGACATGGGAATATTGCTGTGATTTAAATACCAGGTGAAATGAAAGCGTTGTTTTTTGGAAAGACCCAGAGTGGGAAAGAGCTCTGCAGCAGGTCCCAGCTGCCATGCAAGTGGCCCTCAAGCTGAGGCCATGTGACCTAGCAGGCTCTATGTTAGCCGAGATATCCATGCTTACAAAAGACATTGAGTAGAGTATACGGCAAGTCTCACTGGGAAAAGCACAACTCAGACCCCCAAGGTTCTAGAGTAAGGCTGTGTCACCTGCAGCAGAGAATCACACACCTTTCAGTAAATAGCCTTGTCGTGGCCCATTTGCAGGATGGAGGATGAACACAGCACACAAAAAGGCACACAGACACACACAAAGACGATTACAAGGCACCAGTGCAGAATGCACCAGTTGTTTTATTTATATGCCCCCAAAATCAAAGTTAGTTCCTTGTACATGCCTACCCAGGCATTGCAGCAATGGCCGTAAATTCTGGAACATGTAGCCTAAGGGTACAGATGTCCCTGACTTAAGGTTTCCAGGCAATTGCTTGAGGCGCCAGGCATAGATCACAGACCGAGATTAGCAAAGTTGGGCAAGGCCGCCACAGGGGGCATTTTTTGTCCCCAGTTCCTCTTAGGCCGATTCCCTGCAGCTTTGCATGGCTTAGGTCGCCCCTCCTTCAGGGGTCTTACCTGTCATTGACTAACCAGCCATCTTATGGGGCTAAGCAGCAATCAAAGGAACAATGTGCTTATTGTGTGTCCTCCAGGCCTCCACTTATCTCGGGGCTGGGCAGCTCTTGCCTCCATGCAGAAACTCAGGTCTATTGTTATGCCTCTAGGCAAGCAACGGTGTTTGTCACAAGGGCCTTGTCCAGAACACATTATTTTCAAACACTCTGGGCAGAACATGTACATTACTCACTAAATTTAATTCTTAAACTAGGAAAATATATGTCAGTCCCCTACATAGCCCTGTGTCAGCATTCCCTAGAGAGACAGAACCAATAGAATATATAGAGAGATAGTTATACAAGAGGAGATTTATTGGAGAAATTGGCTCATGCAATTATGGAAGCTGAAAAGCCCCACGACAGGCCACCTGCAAGCTGGAGACCCTGGGATGCTGGTGGCACGGCTCAGTCCAAGTTTGAAAGCCTCAAAACCAGGGAAGCCACGGTGTAATTCTCAATCTGAGGCCCCAGGCCCGAGAACCCTGGGGGTTGCTGGTGTAAGTCTTAGAGTCCACAAGCCAGAGAGCCTGGAGTTCTGATGTCTAAGGACAGGAGCAAAAGAGCATTCCAGCTCCAGGACAGAGAGGAATCACTCTCTGCCTTTTCCATGGTGGGGGTGGGGGACTGGGGAGGAGCTGACTGGGTGGTGCCCGCCCATAGTGAGGGTGGATCTTCCCCTCGCAGTCCACCGACTCACATGCCAATCCTTCTGGAAACAGCCTCACAGGTACACCCAGAAGTCATGCTTTACCAGTTCTCTAGGTATTCCTGAATCCAGTGGAGTCGACACCTAAAATTAACCGTCATGAGCTCCCAAGTCTGCTTGGCTATGGTAGGGGTGGACACCTGACCATGGGAGAGCAAATGGCCACGCAGCCAGAGCTGTCCACGTGAGTGAGACTCTGTCAGATCAAGTCATACGATCAGGTGGGCCCAGCAGCATGCCAGGATGGAAGTGGGACATGGAGGACTGAGCAGAAGGAGGACCAGATGGCACAGGCGAGCTGCAGGAGCAGGTGACCAGAGCCCCGTCGCATCCACCTGTTGCCCTCCCTTGGCTCATACCTATGGCTGCATGGCGTGGGGGGAAGAGTCCCTTGTGAGCAGTCAGCAGAGGAGGAAGAAGCCTGAGCTGGGCATATGGGTCACTTGTCCAATTGTGATGGTGAATGAACAAGTACACCTGTCATGGCCCACACTGAGAATGGCATGGTGACCAGAGAGGGCTCAGAACCTTCAGGAATGCAGGTTGGCTCATACCACCGGGTAAGCCCCCAAGGCCAGCAGGGGTGCTGAGGGTGGGGGAAGCTGGAACAGACAGCAGAGAGTAGAGGTGTTCTGAGCAGCTGCCCTGGCTCTGCACTGCCCACCCTGGGCTCTTGTTACTCGAAGAAAATTCAATTTCTTACACGTGTAAACCACTGTGAATTGGATTTCTGCTACATGCCATTCTGGCTGATACAATATTCCTAACAATAGCACGTGGCTGGGTTTTGTTCTTCAATCCTATTTAGTGGACTTTGGGTTTTAATGGGAGCATTCAGCCCATTTGAGGTTTGTGTAAAAATGGATTTATTTTATTTTATTTCTTCCATTTTAACTTAGGTTCACTCTTTATTTTACTTTATTATGTCTCTCTTTTTCTTGTTTTTGATGGATTGATAACATGGCCACTTATTAGATTTTTTTTCTTGTAGATTTTGGTGTTCTATACTTTTTCATTCCATAACTAGTTATCTTTCCTTTTTCATATTCAGAATAAAATACATAATTGCAATTATATAATATTCCATTCTATGAAAAAATACCATCTATCTCCCCACATCCAGATGACCCCTTTATAATGCTCTCACGTCTTCCTGACCCCAAAAAAGATTTAAACACTTTTATTCTCCATCTTCTTCTGCCCTTTCCCCAAATACTAGGCTGAGAACCTTCAGTACTTCAAGTCTCACGTTACTATTAGGCTTCCCTTAAGATTTCCCGTTTCTCAGAAGTCTATAGATATAATTACATCATCATTTGCCTCCAGGGCTGCAGATGAAAAATCAAATGCAAGTCTTGTTGTTTCTTTGTAAATTACTTATTTTTTCCTCTCTGGAAACTGGTAAGCTTTTGTATTTACACTTGGGATTTCAGCAATTTTTTTCAGGACATGCCTAAAGATGAGTATGATTTTTTTGTATGTTCTGTTGGGGATTCAGTGCGTCCTCCAAATCTACAGATAAAGTCTTTATTGGAAAATGTTCAGGGACTTCCTCCATTATTTGTTCAATTATTGCCCACCTTCCATTTGCTCCATTTTACAAGCTTTCATTACTCCAATAACAATAATTCCAATATTGAATAATACAAATGTACAAGTATTTGGTTGCCTGCCTCCTTCCCTCAAACTGTTTATTTCACCTCAGAACTTCCATCTCTTTGCATTTTTTGATTTGGGTTTTGTTTTGTTTGCATTTGGTATTCTAGGTCAGGTTTCAACAGTGACCATCCTCTCCTTTGATGCATCTCCTGAAATGTGCA